AAATGTCTCAGTGCCATTTCAAACACTGCAGGCATCACTCCACTCCACAGGCAACAGCCCTTTGAGGCAGGTGTTATTATACTTTTTTTTTTCAGGTGAGAAAACAGACTCAGAGAGAGTAGGTGATGTCTCCAGTGTCACAAAGTAAGAGACAGAGCTGGGGTTCATTAGGGTAGTGGTGGTGGCACAACATCTGGGCTCTAAGACAACCTCTCAGAGAGAGGGTCTCCCCAGCTGGACATTGGAACCCCATTCAGGCCTCACCCGGCAGCCAAGGCCTTGGGGCTTCAGCAGTCCCACGGGGTTTAGATTGCAGAGTAGAAAATGGACAACATTAAGTGAACAACTAAATAGATATATTGGATGTGTCATATCCTATATAATAAAAGGCTAATATGCAAATTGTCCCCTCAACCAGGAGTTTGACCAGGAGTTCAACTGGGAGTTCAACCAGGGGCAGGGCCTGCTGGCCAACCGTCTGTGCCCCTCTCCCCAGCTGGCCCAGCCTGATTGGCCCCGATCGGGGCGGGCCGACCGGACCCCACCGGACCCCACCTGTGCATGAATTCGTGCACCGGGCCTCGAGTAGTAGATAAGACCAGTGTTGAGGGCTATAAAGAAAAATAAATTGGAATAAGAGGCCCAGAGGGACAGAGTTGGGGAGCAGCTAGTGGTATTCAGGGCCTCCCTGAAGAGGAGATTTTGAGATGGGTGTCCAGTGGGTGAATCCTGGAGGAGGCCCCTGGGCACCTGAGGACCAGCCGCTTAGCTTAGGCTGACAGGGGCAGAAGGGGCACCCAAGAGAGCCCCTTGTTCCTCAGCCCCTAAGAGAGAAGAAAGAAACCCAATATTTATCATTCACCATTGCGGTCTGGCTTTCTGTCAGCACCGTTCTCATTTAACGCTGACAACTCCCTCTGAGATGTAAAGTATTATCTCCACCTTGCGCAGGGAATAGAGGAGGTTCAGAGATAAATGGCAGCTGGCCAGTACCCCACCCCCCACCATGCTTTCCGTTGCTCCCTCCCTTTTAAAAGACTTTGACCCCAAATCACTTTCCAAAATGCCCTTGGGGAACTGGAGGTGACTAAGACTGGGGAGTGACTACTGTGACAGGGAAAAGCTCTCAGTTCCCATAGAGGGCACCTATATGATCTTGGGGTGCAGCTGGGCCAGGCCAGACAGGACTCGTACCCATCACCCTGCCGTTTGCACCCTCCAGTACTTCCAAGGACACCAGGCTGCTACAGCCGCAGGGCCCCTTCCTGGCAGCGGTGCCCAGGAGTGCAGGCCCAACGGGGACCTCACCTCTCCTCTGCCTGCCTTTCCAGGGAGCCACCTAGGTTGGGAGGAGAGGGGATCCCGAGCCACGCACACTTTATCCCCAGCTAAGCTCAGGGATTGCGAAGTAGATTAAGGGCATTCACTGAGGAAGACGCCTACTTAACCTGGATCCCCAAAAATCCGGGCTGCACACCAACAGAGGCGCGGGCTCCCGGCCCACCGGGGCAGGGCGGGGCAGGGCCCTCTTCTTCGCTGCAGAATTTCTTGCCTTGTTATCCGCACCGCCACCAGGGGGCGCGCCGGGGCCTGGGGATGGAGAGGCTGGCAGGCTTGGGGCGCCTTGGTGTGTCCCACTGATCTTTGTTGCTCACCAAAGCGCTTACCCTGGGCAGGCTATGGGCATTCCCAGGACGCTATCTCTACGCTGGGCAGTTGAAAGAAATCTTGTTCAATGAACTGGCCTCACCACCCCCACGATCTGGGCCTCCTGCCTCCAGGTTGCCCAGCTTTCTAGTGGCCTCCAGGGAACTCACTGGAAGCCGTCTGAGGCTCCTACGGCTCTTAGCGGAAAGTTCGGAGCCCCTTTCTGCAGGTCAGAGAGCGTGGGGCCCCCACGCGCCCGCTCCGCGTGGCTCTCCGCGTCCTGTGAGGCCTCTGGCCTTGCGCGACTATTGTGTCCCCTTAGGACTTAGTTCATGGTTCTGTCCAGGGCACCATTGTTCACAGGTGATAGCTTTGCCTTTCCTTAGCAGCAGTGAGTCTTGGCAAGGAGGGAATATGATTTGTTCACATTTGTTCACATTGCATGTATCCCCAGCGATACCTAGTCTAGCACCTAGTGGCCCTGCCGACCCCTAGCCCCCAGACCCCGGCCCGGCCTCCTTTGCCCTTTTTCAAGAGGCCACCCCCCCGCCCCCCCATTCAGGGTCCACCGCAGGGAGGCCTCCACCTCCCCACTCTAGCCGGCCTGGATGTGAATTTAACCCTTTCCCCATCGAGTGCAACCCACCCTGAGGTCCGGGGTGCCTATGAGAGAGAAGGTGCTTCCGTCTGTGACACGTGGCGCGGGGGCGCCCTCCCCCTCCCGGCAGGGACCGTTCCTGTGTTCCAACCGGCAGCACTGGGCAAGCGGGAGGAAGGAAATTAAGCCTGTGTTGAAGGAAGGACACCTGGCAGGGGAGGAGAAAGGGATCAGGAATCCCCTCCTCTGGGGCGCTTTCAAGTGGGGGGGAAATCCCCACACATGCCTCCGCTCTCCAGGGGCCATGCGGGGCCGCACACAAGTTCCCACACCGCCTCCCAGCCCTCTACTCCCTCGGCGGTGCGGCCAGCCCACGTCTGGGTTACGGGCTCCCACCCACTTGTTGGCTGGCCTCCTCTCCATCCCCTCCCCGGTGTTCATGACCTGGGTCTCCCCGTGCTCCCAGCGGCCTGGAGGAGGCATCATACATGTGCCCCTTCAGGGGATGACCAGTCTCACCTCCATAGCCCAGGGCTACTGGCGGGGCACGGCTCTGCCAATCGCCACCCCACATGCAGCCTCAGAAATCTTCCGTCCCCACTACCCAGGCTGGCACCTCTGGAATCTTGGGGTCCCGAGATGACCCCAAAAGGTCACCCAGTCCAGCTCCCACCTCCCAGCCACACTGAGTTTGTAGTGGGGTCTTGGTGGCCAGGGACGGGAGTGCTCCCCTCGGCTCTCAGAAAGAGACACGAGGCTCTGGGGCACCCCACATGGTCAGGTGGATTTGAACTCCAACGGACACCTGATCAGAAAACCGGCTGACAGCCCCTGCTGGGGGGACAGAAGTCCGGTGGGACCTGGCAGGCCATGAGGGGGGTGAGAGCTCCCTACCCCTGGAGCAGGGGCGCTGGGGCTCCGAAGTTAGGGACAGTGGCAAACCCACTGTGACCTCCTTTGAGATGAATGAGAAATAAGGAACCGAAGTCAGCCCACCACACGCGCATCTCTGCAGGCTACATCCCATCCGCTGTCCCTGGGCAGCTTAGGGCTCTTCCTTTTGCTCATCCTTCCCCTTCTCAGCCTCTCCCCTTCCCCTTCCCCCCTTCTTTCTCCTTGGGCTCCCTCTGCTTGCCTCCCCTCCCTCTTTTCTCTGTCTCCGTTTTTTCTTGGTCTCTCAGCCAGTCTCTCTCTCTCTCTCCTGCACTGTCTCTCCCTTTTCTTTCCTTCCCTCCTCTCTTTCATCTCTCCCCCGACCCCACCCCCTCCAGTCGGGCTAGGAACGCGGCAGAAGCCGTGACAAGCCCAGGCGGCTCTCCCGACCCTTGGTGCCCGGGGGCCAGTTCCCCGAGCTCCCGCGCCCGCAGCAGCCCCGTGCGTAGGGAGCTCTCGGGATGCGCAGGGCCAGCGGGTTCGAGCTGTGGGCATGGGTGGCCCAGATCAAAGGCCAGAAATGTCTGGCCCCTGGCATGCACTCCCTCCAGTCGTGCCCCCCACCTGGAAAAGCCCGAGTTCCAGGCCTCCCCAGGACCTGGGGTTGCCCCTTCTGCTTCGGTTCTCTGAGCAGCGGCCCTTGCCCCCACTCACTGGCTTTGCTTGCTTCACCCCAGGCCCAGGGCTGCTCCAGGGTCCCGAGTGCCTCTGGAGGCCTTGGTTGGCCAGGGAGGGGGGTTGGGGGGGGCAGGCCACCCAGGTGACAGCGGGCAAGTCCCCCCAAGGTCTGCCCTCCATCTCAGCACCACTCCAGGCTGAGACCTAATTCCTTGACTTTGTGGAGGGAGAGGACAAGCAGCCAGGGGCTTGGAAGGACTTTTTAGCTGTGGGGAGGGGTGGGGTATGTGGTTGCACTCGGTGTCCAGGCAGGCGAAAGGGGCGTCATCACAAACCCCCAGGTCGAAGCCAAGGACAGGGGAGCTGGGGAGGAGGGGTGTGTCTCAGGGCAGCAGGGTGTTCCGAGGACCCGGGCTGCTCTCTGCGTCCCACCCACCCGCTAACAGTCCATCCGCAAGATCCAAATGGGACTGCGGGTCAGGCTTCCGACCGGAGCCGGAGGCCTGGCCTGAACCCCTCCAAGAGGAGAAAGTGACCCGGCTCCGGAGCAGGAAATGCAACTGGCCGCTGGTGTCAGTTGCAGGAAATGCAAAGGCAGCAGGAGGTCCCGATACCGATCTGATCCCTGACAAAAGACTCAAATGACACGGCTCTGTCCCCGGCGCCGCCCGCAGCCAGACCTTCGAGCCTCCGCAGACCCTTGTGCGCGCCCCGCGGACACCCGGGAAGCGACCTCCCGCGGCCGGGTGGAGCGGCGGGTGGCTTTCGGGCTCGGAGGCTGGAGGCCGGGAGGGGTTGCGTTCCCCAACCCCCTCCGCGACCCTCGGCTCCTGTCCTGCCGGAGCGAGGCTCCTGGGGACATCTCTGTGCTTTCTACTGTCGATTCCCCCAGGGCCCCCGTCCCCAGGGGTCACGGGCCCCCCGAGGGAAAAGGAGACACCCCTCCATG